CTCTTGCCCTCTATGACTCTCTCCGGGCCGAGTTGCAGTGAGCTATGATCGCACCACTGCACTCCAGCCTGGGTGACAGAGCAAGACTCCAACAACAACAAAAAACAAAATAAACTTGTCGAGTGAATGAATGAGCGGATGGAACAGTGCCTGACATACAGCAGGTGCTTAATAAGTACTTAGTAATGAATGGCCAGAATGGTGCATACTGGCACACAGCAGGCACTCAATAAATACTTAGAAATGAATGACTGGTCAGAATGGTGCATAGTGGCACACAGTAGGTGCTCAATAAATACTGAGTGAAAGGTCAGAACAATAGCACAAAGTAGGCACTTAATAAATAGGAATGAATGGGGCCCAGCATACAGCAGGTGCCCAATAAATACTTAGTAATGAGTGATTAAACAGAATGGTACCTGGTACACAGCAGCCACTCAATAAATAGTAGTGAGTAAGCAGGCAGAATGCAGTAGGTGCTCAGTAGTTGCACATGGCCTGCGTGAATGTGCATGGAATGGAGGCTATGAAGCAGGAGGTGGGGCAGGGAGACCTTCTGCCCAGATCCAACCCCCTGTCCCTGCTTCTCCCATCAGTCCCCGGAGGCCAGCTCCCTGCACAGCCTGGAGAGACAGGTAGGTGGGAAGGTGGGGAGGAGCCGGCCTCCCCCTGCCCAGCCTTTCCTGCCAGAGGCAGCTGAGCGTCCACTGCTGCTCACAGGTGCAAGAGCTGCAGCAGCTGCTGGTGGAGAGACAGGAGGAGAAGGAGAGCCTGGGACGGGAGGTGGAGAGTTTGCAGAGCCGGCTGTCCCTGCTGGAGGTAGGAGCAGTGATGAGTCGGGGCTGGGCTGGGGCTGGGGCTGCGTGGGGGAACTTCTCTCCTGCAGCAGTGAAAAGACAGCCACACCAGTGCACGCACAGCCTCACACACATGCAAACGCACCCACCAGACACATGCACTCACAAACCCATAGTCACAGCCGGGCGCAGTGGCTCACGCCCGTAATCCCAGCACTTTGGGAGGCTGAGGCAGGTGGAGCACGAGGTCAGGAGATCGAGACCCGACCTTCCTTCCTTCCTTCCTTCCTCCTTTTCCTTCCTTCCTTTTTTTTTTTTTTTTTTTGATAGAGTCTTTGCTATGTCACCAGGCGGCTGGGGTGCAAATGGTGTGAGCGTTTCGGACCATGGCAAACCTCTGCCTCCCGGGTTGCATGCCGTTCACTCCCTGTCAAGCCTCCCGAGTAGCTGGGACTACAGGTGACGCCACCACGCATCCGGCTAACTTTTGGTATTCTTTGGTAGAAGAATGGGTCTTCAACCATATTGGTCAGCTGGTCTTGAACTCCTGACCTCCAGGTGATCCGCCTACCTTGGCCTCCCCAAAGTGCTGGATTACAGGTTGAGCCACCGACACCCAGACCCAGAAAGGACTTTCTTTAAGCATACGTACTACACACAGGGATGGATATACGCTCTTCTAGGCACGTGGCAGAGCATAGATAAAGCAGGCACACCCACAACAACACACAGTTTACAGACACGCAAGAAACACATCCAAGAATACATCATCACGGGGGCGCGCGGTGGCTCAGCCTGTAATCCAGCACTTTGGAGGCCGAGACGGGTGGATCACGAGGTCAGGAGATCGAGACATCCTGGCTAACACGGTGAAACCCCGTCTCTACTAAAAAATACAAAAAAAACTAGCCGGGCGAGGTGCGCCGGCGCCTGTAAGTCCCAGCTACTCGGGAGGCTGAGGCAGAGAATGGTGAACCCCGGGAGGCCGGAGCTTGCAGTGAGCTGAGATCCCGTCACTGCACTCCAGCCTGGGCGACAGAGCGAGACTCCGTCTCAAAAAAAAAAAAAAAAAAAAAAAAGAATACATCCATCCAACACAGGCACTGTGGATGCAATCCGTCTCATGCAGTCACGCACAGACAACATGCCCACAAATACGTCACATGCAACAAATACTTCTTTTTTTTTTTTTTGAGACAGGATCTTGTTCTGTTGTCCAGGCTGGAGTGCGGTGGCATGATCATGGCTCACTGCAGCCTTGGCTTCCCTGGCCTCAAGCAATCCTCCCACCTCAGCCTCCCCGAGTAGCTGGGACCATAGGCGTGTGCCACCACGACCGTGCGGATATATTTTTTTTTTTTTGGAGAGATGGCGTCTCACTATGTTACCCAGTCTGGTCTCGAACTCCTGGCCTCGAGTAATCCTCCTATCTCTGCTTTCCAAAGTGCTGGGATTGCATAAGCCACCGTGCCCCGCCAGTATTTCTGAAAACACATACTTATGCAAACATATATACATACAGACAACCATACGCACAAACACAGAGATCCAGAGACACATTAAAAACACAGCCACACACACCCGCCTAAAACTCAAGCATGAGGCCGGGCACCGTGGCTCACACCTGTAATCTCAGCACTTTGGGAGGCCGAGGCGGGTGGATCACCTGAGGTCAGGAGTTCGAGACCAGCCTGGCCAACATGGGGAAACCCCATCTCTACTAAAAAATACAAAAATTAGCCGGGCATGGTGGTACATGCCTGTAATCCCAGCTACTTTGGAGGTTGAGGTGGGAGAATCGCTCGAATCTGGGAGGCGAAGGTTACGGTGAGCCGAGATCGTGCCACGGCACTCCAGCCTGGGGAAAAGAAAAAAAATGGGGCCAGGCACAGTGGCTTACGCCTGTCATCCCAACACTTTGGGAGGCTGAGGCAGGAGGATGGCTTGAACCCAGGAGTTCGAGACCAGCCTGGGCGACGTGACGAGACTGCATCTCTGCAAAAAAATAAAAATAAAAATTAGCCAGGTGTCGTGTTGCACACCCATAGTCCCAGCGGCCTGGGAGGCTGAGGTGGGAGGATTGTTTGAGCCCAGAAGTTGGAGACTGCAGTGAGCTATGATCGCACCACTGCACTCCAGCCTGGGTGACAGATTAAGACCCTGGCTCCAAAATAGTAATTTAAAAAAAGCAGGGGAAAGGGGAGTGGCAAAGGACATAGAAGGCGCTCACTAAATCCTTGTGGGCCAAATCTGGGGGGCCAAATGCAGCCATCTGGTACTCATGGGAGACATACAGATATGTGAACAGCCCAGTCCCCACTGGAGTCTTGGTGGGAACACACAGGGGCTGAGAGCAGAACCCCGAGCTGGACTCTGCTCCCTACCCCCAGAACGAGCGGGAGAATACTAGCTATGATGTGACCACTCTGCAGGATGAGGAGGGTGAGCTGCCTGACTTTCCAGGTGAGCCCCCACCTCCCCACGCACTCCCGGCCGCCTTGTCCCCTGGGGCCCTGGGAGACGGAGCCTGGACCTCTAGGTGTGGGGGAGTTTGAAGCTGGGAGGGAGGTATGTACTCTTCCGTTTTTTAAATTCTGCTTGCCTAAGTCTGCCCTGGGGACCCTGATCCACCACTCCAGCCCCCCACCTCCTGTCCCCTGTGGCCCAGGCCCCCGGGGCCTGACTCTGTGTCCCCCTCCAGGGGCCGAGGCGCTGCTGTCCAGGCAACTCAGCCCATCGGCCCAGGAACGCCTCGCCTCACTGCAGGAACAGGTGGCTGTGCTCACCAGACAGAACCAGGAACTGATGGAGAAGGTCCAGGTAGGGAAAGTGAGGCTGGGGACAGATCTGAGGACCTAGGGCTGGTTCCCTGAGGTCAGGGTGGGCAGGGAAAGTGGCAAAGCTGCCCTGTGTCCCCACGGTCACATCAACCCCTGCCAGACTCCTGCCCCCCACCCCACTCCCCAGATCCTGGAGAACTTTGAGAAGGATGAGACACAGATGGAAGTGGAAGCTTCAGCAGAGGTCATCCCTCTTGCCCTCTATGACTCTCTCCGGGCCGAGTTTGACCAGCTGCGCAGGCAGCACACTGAGGCCCTGCAGGCACTGAGGCAGCAGGAGACACGAGAGGTCCCCAGAGAAGAGAGGGCGGCCTGTGGGGAGAGTGAAGGTGTTGGAGCCACAGCCACCAAAAACGGGCCAACCCACATGGAGCTAAATGGCTCAGTGGCTCCAGAAACCAAAATTAATGGAGCTGAGACCATAGATGAGAAGGCTGCAGGAGATGAAACCACGGAAGCCAGGACTATGGAAGCCACGTCCATGGCAGCTGAGGCCACGGGAGCCACGGCCACAGAGACAAAACCCACAGGGGCTGAGGTCAGAGAAATGGAGACTGTAGAAGAGGAAGCAAACATGGAAACTAAGCCCACAGGAGTGGAGGCCATGGGAGTGGAGGCCACAAAAACAAAAGCAGAGGAAGCAGAAGTGCTGGCCTGCGGAGCAGGTGCTGGGCAACCAGAGCCCCCAGTCACAGGGACCACAAACATGGAGGCCACAGGCTTTAGGGCCACAGGGGTAGAAGCCACAGGATTCAGTGCCACAGGTGTAGAGAACCCAGGGGTAGAGGCCATGGCCCCGGGGGTCTCTGCTGGCCCTGTCCTACATCCTGGTGCTGCAGAGGCCTCGGAAAAGCTTCAAGTAGAGCTGGAGACCAGGATTCGCGGCTTGGAGGAGGCGCTCCGGCAGCGGGAGCGGGAGGCAGCTGCAGAGCTGGAGGCAGCCCTGGGGAAATGCGAGGCCGCGGAAGCTGAGGCGGGCCGGCTGCGAGAGCGCGTCCGCGAGGCCGAGGGCAGCGGGGCCAGCGTGGAGAGGGGTGGCGGCGACACCGCACAGCTGCGGGCCGCCCTGGAGCAGGCCCGGGAGGATCTCCGAGACCGGGACTCCCGCCTGCGGGAGCTGGAGGCGGCCTCGGCCTGCCTGGATGAGGCTCGCGCCAGCCGGCTACTCGCCGAGGAGGAGGCCCGGGGCCTGCGGGCGGAGCTGGCCCAGCGGGAGGAGGCGCGGCTGGAGCAGAGCCGGGAGCTGGAGGTGCTGCGGGAGCAGCTGGCCACGGCCAAGGCCACGGGGGAGCAGCAGCGCACGGCGGCCGCGGAGCTGGGCCGGGCACGGGACGCGGCCGAAGCCCGAGTGGCTGAGCTGGCTGCGGCCTGCGAGGAGGCACGGCAGGGCCTGGCCGAGCTGCGGGAGGCCTCCGAGGCCCTCCGCCAGTCCGTGGTGCCGGCCACTGAGCACCGCCGGCTGCAGGAGGAGGCCCTGGAGCTGCGGGGCCGGGCGGCCAGTCTGGAGCAGGAGGTGGTGGCCACGGGCAAGGAGGCCGCCCGGCTGCGCGCGGAGCTGGAGCGGGAGCGTGTGTGCAGCGTGGCGCTCTCCGAGCACGAACGCATCGTGGGCGCCCTGCAGGCTAACGTGGCACAGCTGGAGGGGCAGCTGGAGGAGCTGGGACGGCGGCATGAGAAGACCAGCGCAGAGGTCTTCCAGGTGAGCAGGGCTGGCCCCCACCCGGCACCCCAGCGGCCACGTGGCGGCCTTTTTTTAGCCCCCTAGCCCTGAGGTGTTTTGACCCCATCGATTTTACTTGAACAGACTTATTTTATTTTTTAATTTAATTTTTTTTATTTTTTATTTTTTGAGAGGGAGTCTCGCTCTGCCGCGCAGGCTGGAATGTAGTGGCGCCATCTCGGCTCACTGCAAGCTCCACCTGGGTTCACAGCGTTCTCCTGCCTCAGCCTCCAGAGTAGCTGGGACTACAGGTGCCCGCCACCACGCCCAGCTAATTTTTTTGTATTTTGTTTAGTAGAGATGGGGTTTCACCGTGTTAGCCAGGATGGTCTCGATATCCTAACCTTGTGATCCACCCGCCTCAGCCTCCCAAAGTGCTGGGATTACAGGCGTGAGCCACCACGCCCGGCTGGCTTCCTTCCTTCCTTCCTTCCTTCCTTCCTTCCTCCCTCCCTTCCTCCCTTCCTCCCTTCCTTCCTCTTCCTCTTCCTCTTCCTCTTCCTCTTTCTCTTTCTCTTTCTCTCTTTCTCTTCCCCCTCTTCCCCTTCCCTTCCTCTCCTTTCTTTTTGTTTTTCAGACAGGGTCTGGCTCTGTCACCGAGGCTGGAGTGCAGTGGCACAATCATAGCTCACTGCAACCTCCACCTCCTGGGATCAAGCAATCCTCCCACCTCAGCCTCCCAAGTAGCTGTACCACAGGTGTGCACCACCATGCTCATCTAACTTTTTAATTTTTTGTGAAGACAGGGTTTTGCCATGTTGCCCAGGGTTATCTGGTGCTCAAGCCTGTAATTTCGCAGCCTTTTGGGGGAGGCCGAGGACGGAGTGGATCACGAGGTCGGAGATCGAGGAACATTCCCTGGGACTACACGGTTGAACCCCGTCCCTCTACTAAGAGTAATACAAAAAAACTAGCCGGCGAGGGTGGCTGGCGCCTGTAGTCCACAGGGTACTCGGAGGGGCTTGAGGGCAGGAGAATGGCGATGGAACCGGAGGCGGGGAGCTTGAGTGAGCTGGATCGGGCCCACTGCACTTCCAGGCCTGGCGGCAGGGCGGACTCCGGTCTCAAAAAAAAAGAAAAAAAAAATCCAAAATACAAATACAAAGGTAGAAAGGGTCATATGAATTCTTGGGGTCTAGCATCATTGGAGTTCTTTAGTGTCCTGAGAGGTCACGGCATGGGCTTGGGCCGCAGGTGCAAGCGTGAGGGCCTGTTTCATGACGAGTGAGCGAACCGGCCGCGAGGCCGCAGCTGGCGCCACTGCAGAGGCGCAGCTTACGGGCTACGGACCGGAGGCG